GTGTGTACCAAACAACTCAAATGATATAAAATTATATCTGAATTCAAACACTTTTGAAAAAAATGGTCTCTTACCTTAGATGTATAAAATCATTGCACCTGAAAAATTCGCTGTGGATTTTGTATTTAACACATTTATTTATTTATTCATTTAAACAATGTTTTAACTTAATTATAAAAAAACGTATATCTATGAAACTCCTTTGCTGGATTGGTGATAAAAAACCACTAGTTGAAAAGATAATATATTTAATATTTAAATCCACTTAAGGCTCCTAAAACTAACATTTTTTAATAGTGTTACTTAACATCAGTTTAAAAGCTTTTGTGTAATTTAGATTAGTATTTAAGTAGTCATCGAATGGAGTTTTAGATGAAATTCTCTTTACTGTTATTTATTTGTGAGTCTATTGTTTGAAGCCTGTTCTTGACAAAACTTGGCCGTGCTTCTAACTTTAGGAATCTCAAAGTTAGAGGAACTGTTTGATAATTGTAATTACTTAATTAGGTAAGCGAGACAATACTCTCGATTTTGACGGAATACTCTCATGATTTATAGAAGAATTTGCCTTCAATAAATCTTCACATTTTGAAGAAACTAGTTCTGTTTGTACAATGTTGCAACATGTGAATGATTTTTATAACATACTTGGCAATATCGGCATACTAGTTACGAACTATCATGAAATACGTAATCCACTTTCAAATTTGATACTCAGAGCTATTGAAAATGGCTGCTATGCATTTATGTATAGTTTACGATCTTTCGAAAGAATGTAAGCTTGTGATAGGTAGGTATTTATTGATGTTTAAGGTTTAAAGGTGTTTCATGGAAAATCTCTAACGACATAAAGTAATCAAATTTATTGTCAATCATTTTATTTACAGTAAACACTAGGTACAATATGATACAGTACTGATAATAATCTTACAGGCCTATGGCTCTATGGTATTGATTCTTTTGTCTTAAAAACTTTTCGAAAATACTAAAATACATATTATATAAAACAAAGTTGCTTCTGCTGTCCATACTCTGAGATCTTTTAAATTACACAATGGTTTTAAACGTTGTTTTCATTAATATACAGAGTGATTTAAGAGGAAGGTTTAATGGATAATGCAGGCTAACACGCTGGCGGAATAATATTCATGATATAAATTATTAATTATAAAAAACAAATAAAATTGAAAAATAGTGTGCGATTCTTACCCCCTTTCGGCCATTGCTCTTTTATCTTACGTGCTGCTGTGAGTTTTAAGTGCTCACGTAAGATAAAATGTGAAATTTCCACAGATCATTTTGAATACACCTCTGATCACATTAAGGTTTAAATTTTACAGTTTTGTGTAACTTGTGGCCTAATTGTGTACTTTTGAAATCTATCCCTTTGAAACGTATAGAGATCGACATAGTGATGATAAGGAATTGGGTAACTTTAAATTCTCAATCGCTTTAGAAATAAATGGCGAATCGAATATCTAATTTAAATATCATAGACATTCGACATTTCCCAATAGCTTGAAAACATGTTTGTAACTTCATCAATTTGCTTAGATAATTCCGATTAACGTCAAATAAACGTTATCTTTCAATACCTTTCAAAATAACGTCGCGATCTGCTTATGTACCGTCAGGACTTAGTTAGACAAGTATAGACATAATATTTCTATCGATACCTAATATATGAATTGGTGCCAATCTAAAGGCCTTCAGATGTGCACCGGGCGTTATATCGTTTTCTTAATGACCTGGTGCTTCGTATTTTTATATTTATCTCTATTTATTAAAATACAGATATCGCTTTTTATAATGTTATTTAAAACAGGAACTTTCACAAATCCTAATCATTGTCTAAATACTAAAATGTTAAGTACAACATGTTAAAATTCTTACTAATAGTGTTGTCTTTAACAAGAAAACAATTCCGACTGATGCGGCTGCGGCGTCTGGTGTTAGTTAAGAGCGGAACTTTACACAAATCATTTCGCATCCTCCAAACAAAGCGAAGGAGAGTGACAAATGAGGAAATGTTAACATTTTAAGGTTTAATTGAGGCACTTGCCTCACAAACGTCCTTCATTAACAATTTATAATCTCACGCGAGAGTTGCCAGTGTACAGACTAAAAGGGATTAGTCTATGAAACAGAACAAGACTGCTAGGCTTTTATGGAGCTTGTGAATTAAACGTGCAATATATATATATATATATATATATTTGAAGTTACATATGACCACTAACACTACATGTAAAGGTTAAGTCAATGAGGAAGTATTTAAAAAATAAACATTTTTTACTGAAATCAAACTAGATGTCGCTACGGTACGTTCTTGATTGCTCCACGACAACCCTTCCGGTTTTCTTTCATGTTTGAAAGTAAACTAGTTTTCAAAACTCAATAAACAAATCATATTCTATTTGTACTTTTTCGTATTTGTATTGATATTTAAGTTACGATATTTTCAAATTTTGAGTTTTTTAATATGTTACTTAAAAGGAGTTTTCTATTAAGATTTTTCTTTTAGATGTCTTTGATTTTCACGCCTGCACTTGCCAAACTAAGAAAATTGTAAAACGAATTTGTTATCTAAATAAAAACAACGATTCGTTCCATTGAGTATCTACCACTTTAATTGAGTACTTTTCTAAGTACACAAATTAAACACATAAGGTCAGTTGCACAAACGCCCATTAAGATTCAATGTTGCCTTTAAGCTCTAATGAATGTCGAATTAGTATCGGTAATGTCGCTTAACACTAATGTTTTTTTTTAATGGAGGTATATGCAACTGGATAATAATCTATTATTTTTTAATTATTTTTAAATCAATACCATATAGCTTACCTCAAAGACCACTAACGAGATACAAGCTCATAAAATGCATTACAATTACATCGAAATAACATACGTTTTTACAATATACTTAAACATAAAATATGTTATTACTTAATATGAAATAACAGAGAAGCAAGGTAATCTTAAAATGTACGTTTTAGGTACTCATTTATATATGATTTGCACTAACTTTGAAACATATTAATGAAGTTTTTTTGTAAATGCTGATCCTCTTACCCTTCAACATTAATTAACATCATTTAATAATTTCGTTTAGTATTTTTCAATTATTTGAAACATTTTAAATTCAGAAATTCATGATTGAGTCAACAATCAGACTTATTTCGCTTTCAGACGACGGTCACGCATTACACGATACAGCAAGGTTGTCGCTAGTGGTATAGAATACGACGAATGTTTGATAATCATCAACCTTTTTACGTCCCCGCTGCAGGGACTCAGGTTTTCATAATAGATGGGTAAGGAGGATGGATAGTGAATTACAGAGTATTAACGACAACAAATGAGGCCGGGACCAACGGCTTAACGTGTCTTCCGAACGATAATTTTTTGGTCACCTATCCCGTAACCGACCCTTGCGAAAGTTGCTTAATAACAACGATCGAGGGCCGCGGCGCTTATCCACTACGCCACCGAATTACACAATGTTAGATCACTCGTAGTTAATTGTGTTTCTGAAGATTAATCTCCTTTTCTTTTCATTATCTTTTTCTTTTCTTACCCTTTCTCAAAATTTGAATGTCACTTGTGTATTTTAAATTTTTTGTACATTTATCACGTCTTTTGTTATGTGCTACTTTTTTGTTAACTTGTTTAATTGCTGTGTTCTAGTCGTTTACACTATCCATTTATTATATTGCTAGGTTGCTTAGAGAATCGAAATCGCTAGCAAGCAATAAAGCCGCCTTTTGTCCCATATTTCTCTAAGATTTTTGTATACTTATCTGTTATTTATTGTACTATAAAGAGTATATGTTATTATTATCTAGTTATGAAATGTCTGACTATCCAGAAAGACTTACTGTATTTGGAAAAATGTTGATTACTTTATTTGAAAATTGGGAAAACTTGGAATCTCCGAAATAAAACCTACTTCAAAATATAATGAAAACTTTATTATATTGAAGCAAAGCAGGAACGGGCTTTCGTGATTTTTTCCTTCGTCTAACAGACAAAATGTCCGTCGTCTGAATGCAGCATAAAAGTGTCTATTCCAAAAATGTGCTCAGTGGCGTAGCAAGCATGAATGATACTCCATGTACATCTTGTGAAATTAATACATGGTGTTGCAACATTTTTATGGTGTCTAAAATTGTATTTTTTTTTTCACAAACGGGTGTCATCTTGTGAATATCAATTGTTTACCCCAATCAGGTGAAACCTGGGACGGATCACACTGGCACAAATTTAATTATGAAATATTAAGTTTATTACTGAATGATAAAATTAAGAACAAATATGAACGAACAATTCGGGTAATAATTATCTTAAACTAATTTTATAAAGTTTAAAATTTCTAAACACTTTCTTTAACTAACCGAAACGCGTAGATTTAATAAGATACATTTTAACAATAAAAGGCACTGGCTCCAATCGTAATTTAATAGGATGTAACAATTTAAGAGGACTTCAAATATTGTTCAAATAATAATTTTTATTCATTGTTACGTGGTGGTTAGTTAATAGGAAAAACATAATGAATTATATCTTTTTTACTCAACGTTACATTTTTTTATAAATCACTAAAATTAAATATTCCAAAACAGTTTCATTTTATTTTAGAACTAGAACGTATGATTAAAATTTCTTTGCTTTATTAATAATAAGTTTCGCTTATTCATAATATTATTATTTAAACAGGTATAAAAATTCTGATAAATAATAAACGCAAATAAATAATGTCACTATAATATTTAAATTAAATTCAATGGTCAAATATAATAACTTATATCTATTAGATATACAACATAATACAATATATTATGTATATATATAAACATCAAATCCTTAGGTGCATGCGTTTCATTTTATTATAATACACTTTTTCTTAAATTATTACTGCTGCTACTTATACATATTTTACAACTGCACTAAAAATGAGGAAGAATAATAATTTCTTTACATATATTTTTTTTTAATATTTTCCAGTTTAAAGGAAACTTTTTCAGAATTCCTTAGTTTTTTTAAGGCTTGGTCAGATAGAAGGAGTGGCGTGGCGTTTCTCTGTAATTTCTTCCACAAATTAATCTTGAAGCACTTATTGATTAATCTTTTATTGAATTCGAATTCTCAAATGTGTTCATCTCACGGCGCATTTATAATGAACTCTCTAGATAATAAATTTTGATCACCCAGTATTGCAATATTGCATTTTATTATTAAAAACACTTTAATAATTTAACACAATGTAATTCCAGTTTTTCCAATTTTCTTTCACTTATTTTTGTTTTTCGAAGCGCGAGGATGGCCAATATCGCCTACGCTTTACGCCATCTCTAAACATAGTAATTGGCATGCTAAAAATGCATCACGCCACACCATCAGTTTGACACGGCTTGAATATTTGGGCCGTACTTAGGAAAAATGCAGTTAATTAACGCTATAATAACGCTTTTTTTCCTCAGCGCCGTACGGGCATTACAGATTCACGCTCATGTATACATAGAAAATCAACTAATGATTATGTGGAAGGAAATACATGGCCCCCAAAAGGTTACAGACAATACAGTACTATATATTTTTTTGTAATTACCTACAATAGAAACTTTTTATCCGAACAATAGGAATATAAAATAGACAATTTGATGGCTAACTAACTTATTATATTAAAAATATGCTTTCCTTTAGGAGTACTGTCCAGTAGTAAAATGTTGTTCATATTCGGAATAGAGAAATACTATTTTAATTTATGGGTTTTACAATACAGTTATAATACCTAATATTAAATGTTGTTGATTGATTAGCATAAATATACATTTGATAAGGTATAGACATGTTCATAATTATTCGGATATGGTTACAAAATGTTTCGAATAGAAAATATTCGTTATCATTATAATTATTATATGTTTTACACTGGTCCAATATGATTTTATTATCCATTAATTAAATATTCAAGTCGCAGTAGTATTGTTTTTGTAATACTTTTTTAAACCCATATCATAATATAAATCGATTGTTGTTTATTTAGTATATAATTTTCATTGTTATTTTGCGAGAATAAATATTGAAAACAGACACGAAACTCACAATCAAGTCTCTCTCGAGTACGCAACACATTTCTCAGAAACACATATGTATTTGGCAAAATATTACTACCCGTTTGAGAAAATAATATTACCTTAGTAAGATTTTGTATTTTTGAATGAGTCTTTATTCTCGCAAATGATTGATATGTAACAAACTGTATTATGAAGCTTCCTGTTTTGAAATATTTTTTTTAAATCAGGCAAGTAGTTTCAGAGCCTATTTAATGCAAACAAATATTTCGTGTTTATGATGTTACCATTGATTAGAATTGACATTATTTTTAAAAGAACCATGTTGGTAGCAATATTAATTAGATGGCGAAAATGGGATAATGGTACATGCACGATTTACTTCCTTGAGACAGGACTCGATCTAAGAGCAATCAGGGGAATTGGCTAGAGCGACAAAAGTTGGGGTGGGAAAATTTAGAGCGACGACGGAGTCATTGAGGGTTAATGTCGATAATTTTCTTTTTTTATAAAAAGGACCCTGCTTAGCAACCCGAAAAAATATCATTTTAAAATGTATATTTTATATAATGTACTTTTCCAAATTTGTTTAGATACCACAATGGACTAATACACTAGTAAGCTCATGATGAATATCTTTTTGCCCGGGGCGACAAAAAAGCTAGAACGGGCCCTGGATGAGACTCCAATAATGGTAGACGTATCCACAAAGTACCTACATCGCATTCACTCGGTCGTTGAGAAACTCCTGGGGATGTTACGTGGTAGCTGGTGGTGGTAGTGAGATTCTTGTCGCCTGTACATGTGAATTTATGTACGAGACATCACTTGGTTCTATTATATACTAAGTAAGACTCCTGGTATAAAAATGTTGGTACAAAAACAATACCACTGTTAAATACATTTGTATATAATTATTGCTGATACGTTTAGTATTTGATAATTTAATGAGGAAAATACTGTATATAGCTTAAAAACTATAATATTACTAAAGTTATTCTAACAATTTAAGTACGTATGTTAAATTCTCTCAAAATTGGCACATAATTATTATATATATCTATAACACTGACGAATACCATGAACTTTGGCTTTATATGACACAGACCTTAAAAATACTCACAGTTAATACTACTCTAATGCCTCATTAATAAGTACCTTAAGAACTGTCGAGATTTTGCAAAAAAAATCTCGTACTTACATTTCCTTTATAAGTAAAAACCCCTATCATTAATTTGTTTACAAAAGAAAAAAACAAAAAGGCACAAAATTCATTAAGCAACCCAAACACTTTCTGAATTTGAATATTTGAAATTCGCCACCATTCTTAATTTAAATTCACCACAGACCACAGACTAAACACCACCAAATGTCAAACTGTCACAGTACTTACACGAAAACCGGCTCGGGCGAATCGCTTTCTACTCACAGTACATGTAAGTTCTCACAGTTTTTGAATTTCGAATCTTCTTTACCGAATATCCACGTAAACATTTGGCGGGCCTTCATGCTTGCACGTACTACACCTCTTGTTTTGTACCAATGTGCTGGTGAAGATTCTCTTCCGCCCTCCGCGTACTGCTGCTTCTTTAATCTGATCTGATTGAGTATACCAACTAAAAGTTCGTCTACATTGTGATTGATGCCGACTGACACCTCTATAAACTTCGCTTTGTATGTACAGGCCAAGCACTTGCCGTCTGAGAACAAAAAAGAAACACTTTTCATATTTTTTATTTCCTTTTAAAACCTTTTCGCTATCTAAAAAGTTTTAATGCCAAAGTTAGGTTAATGCTTTTCTATTATAGCATTTGATACTTTATATAATTCGTAAGTATTCTGAAAATGTAATACAATGCTTCTATCATAAATAATAATATTAATTTTGAGTCTGAAGCTAATTCTATTGGAGCCTATGAAATAATGTCAAATCTATTATGATAAAGTAATTTGTCGGTAAATTAGGAAGACGGCACAGATAAGGCTTTTGTGGTTCTCAGGGCTGTCAACGGTTTGTTTTAAGTAAAAATTAAATTTTGGAAGAGCCAATCTTTGGTTCTTATAAATACATATTAATACATGACGTTTTATTACATATTTCGGTTACTTCTTGCCCGAAAGATGACACAAAAATGACCGCTAAGTGTATTTTTTTATCACGTAACTTAATAAAAAGCTAAAATTAAAAGATTCCAAAATAATGCATAAATTTCAAAACATTCGAAGAGTTTATTAATTAAAAAGAAACAATTATTTATTTAATATTATCAAAATTAATTCAATTAAAACGTCAGAAAGGAAATGGGAAGGCATATCATGTTTCAAAGTATGCAGTGACAAATATTTTAGTGTTGGGAACTACTTACTTATTAAACAAGTAATGTCAGAAAGTAAATGGTAGCTTTCTTCAATGTCTTATCATATTATTAGAGTATCAAAAATTAAAAAGCTTGTGAAAAACTTTTTATCAATTTTTTTTTATAATTTTGAGAATCATTCTTAAACTCAGTCAAAAAAATCGGGGTAAATGACCAGCCCTCCTGATCTCCAAGACTACCGGACGTTTACATTATTTAAAAATATTCTGAAAATATTTCTTAACCTTTATATGATAGGAAAACCTTAAAGATAAACCGTTTAAATTTTCTCTTCTAAAAGATGTCTAGAAATTTAAATACGGTAACTCGGCTCTCAAGTCCTATTCTCAATTGGCTAGTTTTATTTATTTTGACCACCTAAGGTTAAAAAAACACACTACAGCTACACTATAATTCAACCCCCAAAGTCTAATAAATACATAAATCATTTTGACAGCCCTTAGGCAAATGTCATAGGCTGTACGCCATGGGAAATCAATTTAGCCAGATAATACGGGCAGTAATGAAAGGAATCCCGTGGCCGCCTGTGACGTCACCACGGGAATATAGTCCAACATTTTTATCTAAACACGACCAAGAAGTTAAGATAAATTCGTTAGCGACAACAATAAGTTATTTAGAAGCTACAACTTGTTTCCATATAGTTTCGTTATTTTCATTTTAGGAATTATATTTTACATTAATTTCATTTCAGGAATTATAATAAATTATAATTTATCTTGTTTGTTTAAGTTTCATACAAAAAGGAAGAGCTGATGAAGTATGCAGTGTCAGTACTTTATTGGCAGTGTAGTGGTAAGGATTGTTAGTCTTATCACCAGGATCTTTTTTAATTATATTTGCATGAACTTTAAAAAACACATAAATTTATATTCTTTACTTCTGTATAAGATACACATTGACACATAACAACAGTTCAAAAAACAATGTTTCTAATTGCACTAGTCTAGTCTTTGTTGAATGTGTTATTATAAGTTTCTATTACTTCAATACTTTCTCTTGTAAACACTTCAAGACCTAGCGCACGATACAATAAGTAGAAAGTCTTGCTGAGTAACGTATAGGTAAATACATCCGCCAATGACGCACCGTATCAACACATAGAGTAGAGACAGGCTACACCGGTAGTAGATCTTCCTGTGTCACTATCACCTCCGTGATCAGCGTCGCAGAATCCTTTTAGCAAACCAGGTAAATGCTGTTCTTTGTACTTGATTCCGAAGGCACAAGTACCTTTACATAATCCGCTTCACTCGTAATCAGTCGTCTTTGGTTGTTGGTTGGAGTTGGTTCCTTTTCTATAGGTGTGCTTACGGAATTGCAATCAGTCATTCCGAAACACTCTAGGATCCGGTTCGCATATGCTTCTTGGCTGATAAAAATAGATCCATCTGAATCTCTAGATATTTGTAGGCTCAAATAATAAGTTAAAGGTTTAACAATAATCTGCAATTTCTTTCTCAGATCTTCCAAAAAAACGTTAGCTACGTTCTGATTAAATGCAGCTACTAATCCATCGTCGACGTACAATGTAATAAGTAACTTTTCACCGTTGACTTGGTTTCTTTATAGACAGCAATCTGATTCACACTGTTCAAAGTCCATATCGAGTAATATTTCTTCAAAATAGCAGTTCCAACACCCTGGAGCTTGTTTAGACTATATAAACTTCTATTAAGCTTCCAAAGATTTGATGTTCCATTGCTATAGTCATTTGGTTGTTGAACGTAAATTTCTTCTAACAACTTGACATTTAGGAAAGTACCGTGCAATTACACTTAATAAAGTTCTAACAGTTGCAAGACGGGCAACAGGACTGAAAGTTTTCTTTGTTTAAAACCTTTTACCACTAGTCTGGCTTTGTATTTATCTATAGAGCCATCCGGATTTCTTTTTAATTCGTAGGACCCGTTATTGCAGGGTAAAGCTCTCTTACCCTTGGGCAACATGCAAGACGTCCAAACATTTAAATCCTTCAATGACTTCATTTCACTGTCCATTGCCATTTTCCACTTTTCGTTGTCATCTTGTTTCATGGCATTAGCGAAACTGGTTGCAAAAAATTCTGTTAATCATATGAAATCATCGAATCTAGCCGGATGTTTCAATTTGCTATGACCACGAAAATTATATCGTTAGGGTATAGGCTCTGTATCATAAAATTCGTCTGCAAATCATTAACGTTGTCTTTTAGCATGTCTTCGCTGTTATTAACATTGTCTTCTATCAAGGTTTCTCCCTCAAGACGATTTTCATGACTGACGTGGTGTTCAACATCAACATTCAATGTTGCTGACGCTGATTGATTCAACAAAATGATGTACTCTCGTGTTTCTCCTGATTTAGTGACTTCAGGATTTACTATTTCGTTTATTAAAATCTCATTAAATATGACATCACGAGAACGCAAAACTCTGTGCTATCTGATATCGGTGATCCAAATACGGTAACAGTCTTCATCATATCCTATAAGCTTGCCCATGATCGATTTCTTATCTAATTTCTTCCGCAACTCAAGTGTTTAATAATTGGTTTCTTTCAACTCCATAATTCGTACGGAGTTTTGTCAGGAAAATTTTATGGGCCAGTCCGATTAAGAATGTATGCAGATGTATTAATAAGTTCTGCCCACAACTGTTGCGGCATTTCTCATACATTAATGACCTCGTAGTTTCAACAAGAGTTCTATTCTTTCACTTACCTCATTTTGTTACGGCGTGTACGGCGTGACTAGCTGCTGTTTGATGCCATGTGAATCTAACAATGTCTTCATAGCCTTATTGTAAAAATCTCCGCCGTTGTCACTTAGTAAACGTTTTTAATTGAGTGACTATCAAAACGTATCTTTGACTTCCGAATTATGGCTCATAAAATATACCATACGATAACTGGTGAAGTCACCTTTGAACGAAACCTAGCACTGATATTTGAAAAAACTTGGTACAAACGGCTTAAACACAGACATCAGTATGAACTAATTCTTCAGGCACAGTAGCTCGAGTTCTAGTTCCTATGTAATCTATGAACTTTCCCATAGGCGCAGCCCTCGCAAGTTTCGTTATCCAATGGGAGATCTAGGCCCAATTCTCGTTTGATAGTGACTTTTACGTGCCCGTTATTCTGTTGAGCTATTCCTTCGTGGTAGACTTGCATGGTGACTGTTGTCGCATTTATTTCAGATACAATAGGTAGAATCACTTCCATGACTAATCGATAGAGACCACCATGTTTCTGACATTTTTCTACTAGCGTCACTTCTCCGTTGACATAGGCTATACATTCCTCTGTCTTTGATGAGAATAAGCTATCTGGAACTTTATCGTGAAACGAAAGAACAGAAAACAAGTTTTTCGTTATCGCCGAAACGTACCAAAGAATCATGTCCAATTTTGACCTAGAAATTAACTAACGCGTCTAGTGATGTGATATATCTTAAAATATAGCTTATTTTTTACGTATTTCATAGCGCATAATAAAGTATTAAAATAGGACCAGAAAAAAAATAAGGAGGCTGATACAATTTTTAAAAAGTTCTATATTAAATACGAGAACGCGATTCGGACCGCAGGCTGACCGTTTGCTGCGATTCGTTTCATCTAGTACGAGAAATATATTAATTCGTCTTAAGGTTAAAAAAGTGCACAATAACATTTACATTTAATTTTATTTTCTCAACTAAGAATAATATTATTTTAACTTTTATTTTAGTGATATAATTGTTGTGAAAAATGAATGTACAGTTGAACCAGTTACGCATAGAGCGATATTATTTTGCACCAAAGGAACGGCATGTCTCAAGGCGCCATATTTTGATTATAAATGGTGTTAATGGACGAGAAGGCATTAAAGAGTATTGTTGCAATTGCCTTGTAGGACGTAGTAACATAGGTTGTTGTGCACATGTTTTGAAGATTGTGTGGTATCTGGGTTGGGCTAGGCAACCAGGCACCAAAATAACATTAATCCTCCAGCTGCATTTTTGGATGAAGTAGCTCTTAGAGAAGATACTGGTAGTGAATAAATAATTTTATAACAAACACTGTTTTTATTTCTATTTTATAATATAATCTAAGACTGAAAACAACATTATGCGTAATCGATTTTAATATTCCAAATATACTTTGGTCAAAGAAATGGTAGCAAAGCAAAGAAATTAAAAATATTTCGAAAAAAACACAAAAGCATTTTTTGGACTATATTACATTAGAATAATACTTTAAAGCTGTGTGAGATGTGAAAATCATAAAATATCACAATACATTTCTAATAAAGTTAAAAATGCCATTAAATAAAACTAAAATTCGCAATTATCTCGAGTTTTGACAGTTGTTATAACCTCAATATAATATTTAAAAATTTAACCTTTCCCTGGGCTTTAAATGAAAAGATTATTTGTTAAAATTATATTATAAGCAAAAACCAAAAAAAAAACCAATGACAGGTCAATCAATGTATGGAAAGTGGACATGTTTCTTTCTTGTAGAGTGACGTATTGTCGTCTCCTTCTTAAAATTGCGTCGATTATTACAGTCCCTTTACTTTCGGCATGTATTATCGTTAGCAGTCTTGACATTATGAGCATCGACAAACTTTTCATAGTTCTGTAGTACTCCGCCTCTATTGGTGACGTGACTTGTTGCGCCACTGTCTACGTACTAATGTTCAGTGTCGTGTTCTGTAGAAAATAACTCTATGTTTTCAATGGATAGTAAAACTGTGTCGATGAATTGCAATTCATCGGAGGCTTGCCATTTCGAATCCACTTCTGACAATTCTTTACGCGATGATCGATAGTTTGGCAGTAATTGCATTTCATCTTCTGGTCTCCCTTCTCTGTCGATGTAGAGCTTGAACTCGTTACAAGAGCTCCTAGCGGCTGGAGTACGACGGCATTATTACTCAGCAGTGCCCGCTCAATTGCACTTAAATGGTTGGTCAAATTTTCGATGGTACGATCTACTATTGGTAATAATAGCCAACTGCTTCTGAATGAAAAAAAAAAAAGATTCACCTAACGTATCGAGAATCTTGCATATGAGAAGTAACTCTGGTAGTTCTTTGATTATTATCTTTTGCAAGTTCATGATTTAGTTGTGTCCAAATATTTTCAATTTTGACATATGAGTCGCTATATCAACCGATTGATCCTTTTTAAAACTAAAAAGACATATACATATATAATAGGCTTCGTCTTCATTGACACCATCGAAAAGTTTGTGTAGCTCAAGCCATACCTCTCGCGCGTGTGTAGGTATACCTCATAACTATTTTTAAGTGTTTCTTCATGTATGCTAGTAGTCAAAATTAAAAGGGCAGTTGTATCAACTTTTTCGTACTTTTCCACATTAGAATTGTACGAGCTAAGTTTTTCAGCTCTGTCTCTGCTTTGGGAGGGGTGGGTCTTTGGAACGAGCCATCAACTATCTCCAGCGCTTGCCGCACGGTACGCAGAAGACAGACGACTTTATATTTCCATGTGTCCCAATTAGATTTACCTTCTAACGAGTCAATCGGTAACTTTGAATTAACATTGTTGTTGCGTCTGCTGGCATAAACCTGATGAAATATGCAGTAACAGTACTTTATTAGCAGTGGAGTAGTGAGTGAGGATTGTTTGTCCTATCACCAGGATCTTTATTAATTATTTTTTGCGCGAACTTTGAAAAACACATTTATTTATAAACTATATTAGATACACATTGACACATGACAACAGTAAAAAAAAAATGTTTATAATTGCACTAGTTTAGTTCGTTTGAGCGGAAGAAGCCAATGCCGATGCCATTTCCACAACAATAAGCAGCTATGGCTGCAGGCGGGACCAATAGCTTAGCGTTCTTTCTGAAACATGAAGGAGTCTGAGGATTTTTTGGTCACCCATTATAGCAGGCCTTGCAAAATTACCGATTACAAATCGAACGCGCCATCAAGCTCCTTCATTAGATTAGGCAAAATCGGAAAGGCTTATTATATTATTAAAACAAAAGATTTTAAAGTAGGTTAGCAAGATGGTAGATTGTTACCTTGAGTAGATACTGCGCGGCTTCTAGCCAAATCTATCTTGTTGGCGACCAAGAGCGCGGGCCGTGCACGTAACATGTCGCAATCCATCAACCTCGCTAGTTCCTGCTCCGCTTTCTGGAAAGAGGCTTTGTCCACCACCGAGTAGATAACCACGAACGCGTCTGGTGGCTCGCTACGTTCTATTTCTTCCTGATAAAGAAACATAGTCAAATTAACATTACATAATCAATATTGCATGGCAATAGATTTCAAAATGGCTTCTGATTAATAAATGAACTATTCCAGATTAAAAAATTTAAAATTACCCGTAATAGATGTGAAGGTAGCATAAAAATAGTTAATTTTTTATATGCATCTACCTTTTGCCTTGGCATTTTGCTATTAACATCTATTGCTCACAATTCTCGGGCTTATAATGAGGTCAATATCAAAGCTACTCTATAACCATACTTTTTTTTATTTATGAATATCTTTTTATTGTTTTAAACACCCTTTATTATCTTCTATACATTGTATAAGTCGCTTTCCGCCGTCTGTATAACACAACGAATTTTAGTGCGGCTTCTATCAATATACAGAATTATTCAAGAGGAAGGTTAATACGTATAATAAAGGACCAAGTGGTCGAAATCACTGGCGGAAAGCTTGTTTCGTTATAATTTAAGAAAAACACAAACCTAACACTAGAAAAACATTTCAGTAAGTTTTATGATATTGGACGCTCAATTTTTACAAGAATAGCATTGCAATACTATTCTGTTCAAAGCAGTCTCGAACTCGACGTCAAGCTCAATGCTGCCACTGCATAGAGCTTCTTGGTTTAATAATCCAGAGAGCTTTAATTAAATGAAACTTTTATTTTCACGCAGGTTTTATGTGATTGCACCTCGAAACGCAGTAACAACATTGCGCTCGTCTTTGTGTTCTAGGCTTTTTTTAAAACAGATATTGAATTCATTTTGTTTTTTCTGCTTGTTGCTTTCATTTATACCTAGACCCGGTCTTGGACATTTGGGTCTTCACGGCCTAATTAACACTTATACAAATATATTATTTTACTATGTATGGCCTTCCAAATCATAATTGTGGTAAAACTAATACATAAATCGATACCTTTGAAGTGCAATCACTTTCTCGTAACTCTTAAATTGGACAGAACCAGGTTCCAATCTTAAAATGCCCAAAACCGCCTAATCTATAATACCGTAAAGTTTAAATACTTTTAAAATACTCACTTTTGTACTAGTGCAGTTTACAAAATATAATTCAGATTCTTCTCCGTTCAACATTATTGAGACCTTTTGTTCCGAGCTGTCGATATCTGCAAAGAAAACAAAAAAAAATTAAATTACTTGCTCCGATATAAAATAAACTTTTAAAGAAAGGACTGAAACTTTTATAAATATTTGATGGCCTACTCTGTTTGCTCACGAACGAAAATTCGGAAAATTACGAATCATGCTATGATTTTCTTATGATCATATCCGTGAAGATATTCGTGCATCAGAAGTAATGTCAGATCTTACCTCCGTTACACCATTATAAATAATCAATGAAAAGATTTCTTTGGAGCCACATTAACGGTTTAAAATAGTCATATTTTCTTTTTCGGAGAAAGTAAGTAGGCAGTGGATTAGAAGCAAGGACCTATCCCTAAACGTATTTATACCGTACTTTCATAAATATCTCTAAGATAGATAAGTATGCAAAATAAACTTAATAATAATACTCGAAGTCAAGCCAAGAAAAATAATGTATTGAAATGACAAGTTCACTTTTAAATAGTCAATTTTTCCCTCGCGAACGATTCAAGAGATTTCGGTTATTAAAAAAAAACTTTGTCGGAAACTTCCAAATACTTTGTTAACAGCATATATCCATGCTCTTTAGCAAAGTTTCTACCATTACCATAATTACATTAGAATAATTAGATGGGTACAGTCAACAGCACGATCTACAACAACACTGCTACAACATACAAAACTGATAAAGTCAAAATTATCTGTTTCACGTTGTATAGTTATATTTTGCTACTGCCCATTCAAGATTTCTTTTCATCATCAGCCTACTGTATTTATCGCAGCAAAATTGTACAACAAACTGAATTACATACAGGTTGGGTACAGCCGCAATATAAGTCGCAGAATTTTTCGTTGAGCCGCATTTCAATTTGTCTGAAATAAAGTAAGTACCGCGCATTGCATGAGCATATCGTATTTATCAAAGTGGCTTAGTAACGTGACGCACACATGCAAACAAATGTAACTTAGTCGTAGATTTATCGTAGCCGTATTATATAACATGTCCTTGTTACATGGATCGCATCCAATTAAAAAACGGCGCCGTTTTGTAATGCGACTACTTTATATTGAGCCGGATTCGGCAATTAATTTTAATTTATTACTTCTTAAATAAAATAAGTAGGGCAGATGATCCGATTTGGGCCACTGGGACCAGTGGCTATTTCTTTGATATTTAGAACTTCAAGGCGTTCCAACTTACATGTAGACAAATATATAACTTTACTGTATACGTACTTTAAAACTTTGAATTATGCCAAAGCTTTTACCATTAACAGCTGTGATTTCAAGGTTTACTTCCTTTCTAACTATTAAAATGGCCAAAATCTGATCATCTGCCCTATTTTTGCACTTAATAGTCAGCGATGCCGCTAGATATCATTTTATACAAAAGGTTAATGTCATGTAAAGACTGAGTGACTAAAAATCGGTCATTCGAAACTGATCGACAAATGTCATCTTCTGCTATGATGTTGAATCTGATCTAATATCTTGATTTTTAAAAGTTCAATGATACTGAATAAAAAGAATAGAAATTTTATTAAAGTGTCGTCAATACCTGTTCAAATTCCTATATTAAATATGATATGAAATTCCTACATTATTTGTACGAACCTTCGCCCACAAAGGCTCACAAAGAAAAGCCTAGTGGAACCAGATCACACGGTCTTGGTGACCGTTCAATGAAAGTTGTGACAACATCTTCGAACCATCTTTAAGCTTCTCACTATCTCAATAAATGAAATTTTACAATCTTTATTCGAATAAATATAGTCAACAATACCTCAAGTAAAACTACCGAATTTCCCCACTTGATTTCAAACCTTAATGCATAATTAAGATTTGTTTTTATTTGAAGATGCTTGCAATTTCTCATTTTTTTTAAAGCTCACATAATTTAAGCATAATTTAATATAGTTCTTAGTGATACTTCGACCAAATGTCAATACTGGCTAAATGGTTTTATATTTTCATTAATGCTGTTGTTGTATCCCTCAAGTACTTTATTAAATCCTAAATAAGGTTTAATGTCCCAATATCGGTGATAACCACAAAACACCGATCTACCGCATGAAGCACAAGGGATCAGTTATACCTCTAACCAAGCTTTATAGCCCTCGTGAAATTTTATAGTAAATCTTATTCAACCTCAAGATTTATACTCGAGACCATATTGAGGTTCGTCTCAGTTACTTTACGTTATCCCAGTGGAGTAGAGATTTTATTTTCTATCCGACTATCATATTTTATTTCTGGTAATGTAATTGGTAAATATGTTATCAAGCAAGTTCCACACCCAGTCAGTATATCCGCAAGATCCTCAGGAGTTGTAATACTTCGTGATGTATTGTTAGGATGCTCCGTAGAGGGGCGAAACACTTATAGTGGTGATTTTGCGAGATTTGTTCCGAAAAATAACGATTGATTCCATTAAATACTATTATTTCTATCAAAATCAACCACCCGAATTGAAAAAACCATAATTATTTCCCTGTTTACTTTAAGGTGGTCTCTCACCAGCAGTGCTAATCTATTATAACAGCCTCGAACTGATCGTCACAGTATTAGATGTACAATCAAATAAAATCTTTATTACCTTTTAAAGGCGATGATCGAACCTCTTATAGTGCGATAGCACTGTGTTCGATGCTCTATTTCTAACACAATAACACTGAATTACCAATGATATTGCACTTATCACTTTACATGGTGACATTGCCATTAATAGAAAAAATAAACTATTAAAATAAGATTCTAACGCCATCTCTCGACAGATCAAATAATTGAGTTGTCACATGAAAACAGACTATCCATTACAATAATGAAAATATCTCAAATTCAACAAATGATATTCATAAATTATTCACTAATGTATCAAAATGTCTATGGAGCAACACGTTTCGGGATGTTAATAATCTAAAATATACTTCAAATTATTATATCGAACACCATTAAATTTATTCAATATTAACGTTTTATTGACTCTATAATCCATTGAAAGCTGTTCAAAGTGTATTTAAGTTCAAAACCGTATAAAAAATTAAGAAATTCTACGTAGCCGTCTCGAAGCAATTTATATTGAATATTGTATCTCAGAGATTGCTTTTGCCAGCACTTTTTAAATACAAATCCTCTTTTTAAATGACTGGCAGTGGAATAAATTAATTTATTACCAAATCATTATACGAGAGTGATTAATAAACGATGAAAATTTATTTCCCTTTACCTGATCTGTTATTTATTACATTTTATATCTTCGGGTGGTGAATCTACGTTAAAATTTACTCTATGTCACAACTTGCGATACTAGCTAGCGACCATGGAGACAACTTTATGCAAATAAACGAGTTCAACAAAAATGGTTGTCATTTCAAACACCTGCTTACATCAGCCTACTCAAATAAATTTAAAAAATAAATTTAAGGATATGATAAACAATGCATTTTATTCAAGTTTATCCATTTCAGACACCAAATGTCTTGCACAAACTAATGTAAATTTAGTTTTAGTGAATGAAAACAAGATTATCAATCTTAGATATCTTATTGACGAAAATATTATTAATCAACATAGATAGGTCAATGATGTATTAAAAAGTTTAGATAGTATAAGTATAGATAGATAATCATCTGCGCACAACATTGACAGCAAGAAAGCAAGACAATTGCCTGAATTTTACTTTAGTTACGTTTCAATAAGCGTTGTGGCTGTCATTTTCACTCGTAATATTCTGTGAAAAGTTATAGAGAAATGCCTTCCTGCGTGTTTAAACAATGCAAAAATTATATATTGACAATGAGGAAATAAAAAAAAAGATATTTCATGTGTAACTTACTCTTTTTTACTTTAATAAAAATAATAAAACCTCAATGAACGCGGCTATTTTATCAAGCATTGTGTTCTCATTCTTGTCATACGACTTCGGGAAATTGGAGTTGACACGTAAAACCTGTGTGTAAAACTAAGCCAATACGATTTTAATGAGGAGACGGCTATTTAAGATTTTTCGCGTTTTTTTATGGTTGTATTATAATGTCACGCTACCACAATAAAGTTAACGCCTTTTTAAAACGCAATAATGTATGTGAATGACGTGTCTAATGATAAAACGTCATTGAAGTATGAAACGGATATAAAAACACACATTCAGTCAGATTGAATTATCATTTTATTGGTAGACGGTTTTTGAAGTAGATCCTTCTAAATTTTCTATAATTTTTCTACGTGTCTAATAATAAAATTTCATTGAGATAGATATGATAAAAACACACAATTAGTCAGATTGAATTATTATTTTTTCAGTAGTAGGTATTTGAAGTAGGTTCTTCTAAATTTTCTACAATTTTTCTGACTAACAATAATATCGGTGATCAGATATATAGACATAGAAGAAACCTACTAGAAAAATTCTATAACGCCACAATAATCCGTTCCACTATCTGATCAATGGCGCTCGTTACTGGTGCAGGAAATAGTAGGAATCTAATTGGTGATGAAATATATTCACGTTGAACTGAAAATTCAATTGAATTTCGGTCTAATATACAACATGTAATGTAATTAACGCACACACACAAAGTAGTTTGTTTAATGTCAGATACTGATACGATTTCAACAAATTCTAATATTTGTAGATATATTTTTATAATCATGTAAATTATGGATACCTGTAACCGTTACAGCGGTCACAAAAAAAAATAAACTTAAGAGAATGTATGTAATAAGGCTTCTTAAAATGCACTATGTTCTTAGCTTGTAATAAAATACAACATACAAAAAAATTCAAAGAAACATGAGCTTTCTTTTAATATGACGAGTCTAAAATTCTTTTAAACGCTATGATGCACAAGTTCATAAACCAAGGAGTAAAATAGTTCATAAACAAAAAGAAGTGGCGGTGGATGACTATTATTTTATCTCATTTGAAGTTTATCGAATTTTCATTTTCGATAAACTTTAATCGAGATTATACTAGTGTACAGTAAATACATCGCAACGCTTAAGGGTTAGGCATACTGTG